TACATACATACATACATACATCTGTGATTGTTGATGTACAATTACACATGCATGCATGATCACACATGCTTACATATGTATGTGGGTATATAATATACGTCTGTATTTACCATTTGTCTACTACTACTACTACTAATATGACTAATATAATTCAGTAATCGTCCTCGTCGCCGTGGTAGCAATAATTTTATCAAGTGTTCGTACAAGTATGGACTTCTAGCTTTATCAACTGAACTTGGCCCATTCGCAGCTAGGCCGGGAGGGTTTTCTGTTCGAAAATTCATATAAGATGGCAGTTGTGTACGAGCCGAGTAACAAGCAGGGTAATTCCACTGCGTCCGCGCATGGCCATTGCACGTGAAGAGGGAGGGGGCGCAAAGGATCGCTCTTTGGGGCACCGGAGCAAAACTCGTGAGCCAGGTCCAGCGATCAACAGAGTTCAAGACTCAAGGCTTTCGGTGCATGAATTGTACACATAGGGGTTTGAAACGGTTTGAGGGTTTCAGGAGTTTGGGCGACGTGGGAGAGTATGACAAAGCCTTCTGCGGCCCTCTTTTGGGGAGAAGTGTAGGGGGTCGACTCGGAACCCTGAGTAAAGGAAAATCTCGTTTGGAAACAGAAACCCTTACCGATCCTAAACGTAAACCTCCCATATCGACCACTCAAGGAAAGCCACGCTTGGCTTGGGAAGCCGAATCTCCCAAAGAAAACCGAACACCGCCTTGCAGTCAAGCCTGGAGGAAGCCGAGATCCCGACGACGCCAGCCTCGGAGATCGGGCTGTTAACTTTACATTACGTTCTAAATATACTTTATGCACATACATATGTAAGAGTATGTAAATATATGTGTATTATTGACACTGTTGGGCGAAGCGGCCGGCTGAAGGTGTTCGGAGCTTCATTGCGGTTACGTTTGTCTCTCTCTGCATGTGGGGATCCAGCGCCGGGCTTGTCTTGCCCAACAGTGTTTATAGTGTGTGTGTGTGTGTATATATATATATATTTATATTTATGGTACCCCCCCCCCGCCAAAGATCCACGCTTTTTCTATCTTTCATAGTCTCTTTGTGTCCTTCCCATGCGTGTCTGTCCATCATATCCTGTTTATGACCGTCTCTCCCCTCAATACAGACGTATACCAAACTAACACGTGCACACACACACACACATGCGTCTACATATACGCAAGGTGTGTCAAACTTGGCAGTAAAGTGGCAAGAGTGAAGACCGAACGGAGGGATGAGATTCGATCCTGGCAAGATCCAAAATTCTCCTAGGAGTCTTGGGGCAGAATCCTGGATCTTGGATCCGAGCCAGGATTGAGATTCAATTCAATCCGGATTTCAATCCTGACGCCTTGGGGTCATCTCAGTACTCGTTCCCGCGATTGAAACTGGATTGAAGGATTGAATTTCAAATCCGGGGGACCGGATCCAAGATCCAAGATTCTCCGAGGGCGCAGAATTTTGGATCTATGATCTTGGGTCCGGGCCCGGATTGAAATTCAATCCTTCATTCCAGTTTCAATCCGGATCCGAAGATCGGCCCCAAGACTCCTGTCAGAATCTTGGATCTTGGAACGGGCGCGGATTGAAATTCAAGCATTGAGCCCAATTTCAATCCTCCGTCGTTTACTGCCTGCGCGTGCGGATGACTGCAGTTTGAGCCAGTGCTGTTGATGTGCAGTGTGCGCCAGCTTTAGAAAGGGGGAACAGCGACAGCCAAGAAGTAGTATAGTAGTAACGTAGTAGTAACGTAGTAGTAACGTCGTCGTCGTCGTCGTCGTCGTCGTCGTCGTCGTCGTCGTCGTCGTCGTAGTAGTAGTAGTAGTAGTAGTAGCCCTACTAGTACAGTGCTACCACTGTGACTATTGCAGTAGTAGTACAATAGTCTCGAAACCAAGTCCATTTCGCTCCAAGACAACTACACGAACTAAAATTCCTTCATGTAGCAGACGTTGCCTTGATCCACCGGCTGGACGCATGCTAAAATGAGATTTGATGATGTCCTTTTGTTATCTTCTTCTCAGTCAACACTGATGAGTAAGAACACAAAGCAAAATTCCCGGCGAAAAACAGACATCGCATTATTGAAGATGACGGGAAGGGCCGGGCCAAGATAACAAGGTTTGTTGTTTGCTTATAAGAAACATGAACATTTGTAGTCAGGATATAGGTGTGGATGCCTTGCTCTTCAGAAAGAATGAGCAGCAGTGGTTTAAAAATAGTGTTGCCTAGCAGTAATTTCGTAGTAATGCAATAATGGTATGGGTAGCTGTTCAGTAATATTACAGCAGCATAGTAAAGGCACAGTAGTAGTACTGTAGTAGTACAGCAGCAATGCCATAGGAAGGTTTAAGACGCCCCAAAATCTCGGAATTACAATAAATTGCGCTCACTCCAAGATAACTGCTAAAACTAAAAACCTTCAGCGTTGACTGCCTTTTCTTTCATGCTATTCTCCCCCCGCCAAAATCGACCAAAGCGGAGGCCTGGTAAACTAGTACGGTAGTAGTACCGTAATGGTACAGTACTAGTGCAGTACTAGAGTGGTGGAAGTAGTAGTAGTAGTAG